TTTCGCTCTTCCTGGTGATATAGCGAGGCAGCAGCCTCCTGGGCAGTGACTTCCAGGCCTTTGTGGCCTCCCAGCAACCGGTACCTCCTCCCTTTTGGAGGGAAACATCATTGCAGGCTGCTGATATCGTCCTCTCAGGCCCTGGACCAGTACCCGCTACTGGGTCTCTAAAAATGCCAACTTTTGTCTTCTTCTGCTCGTCCTCGAGTACCTGACACATCTACCGCTTCGTGTAGTGGTACCGGCCTACCTGCTACTCGAGTGTTTTTCCATCTGCCCTAAGTGTTGCAGGCCTAGTCTTTGCTACTTGAGTGTTTCCCTGCTGCAACCCTCAAAGCCACGGCCACAAGTAAGTATTGGCCCTGCGGGCCTATGAACTAAGTGCCCTTGCGGGTCACACACACACTCAAGCCGACAAGCACTCAGACAGCTTCGCACACACTCAAGCCGACAAGCACTACTGGAATAAGTGCCCTAAGTGTCTGACAGTTTCAAGCCGACAAGCACTCAGACAGGCACGCAGACAACAAGCACGCCCACACAGAGACTTAAAAAAACTCAGCAAGGATGCGGGAATCTCAGCAAGGCATTCATTCCATTGGCGAAACCCAGAAATCAGTAGTGTTCTCAGTCTGTGTTTTGGCAGGTTGTTACACGTCGAGAGAAAGGGTAAAATGAAAAAAAAAGGTTAGATGAAAAGAATATTCCTGTGCCTTTCCGTTCAACCAACCTATAATCCTCAATTTCTGCTATTTTTTCCCACATTTCTTTGTTGAATGCGACCTTGGTCCATCACTAGTGACAGGTATTTGTTTTGTGAATCCTCGCATGTAGGTGATCTCTGGGGTATATCTATTTTTGTATGTTTCTTCGTCTTCCATGACGTTGATACTAATTAATCACTTGTTTGCACCGTCAATGGATGTGGTTGGGCGCTGGCAGTTGCTGCTGCTGCTCCACGGTCGGTCCCTCCATCGGTTCAACAGCCCGCCGCAGCTGCTAATGGGAATGATGATGCTGTCAGTGAGGTGAGGAAGCAGAGCTGTCCTGCATGAACTCAGACTTGGTTAATTATCCCGAACCTCATCCTGTGTGATTAGCCAGGCGTGCACAGTTCTTTCAGTGGGGTTCGTCCTTCAACAGCCTGGGCTCTTTGTCTTGTCCATGGTACGTCTTTCGAATCTGAAATGCGGTTCGCCCTTCAATAATTTCCAGTCTCTATGGTGTGAAGTGCGACTCTTCAAGGAACTATTGAATGAGAACGCAACATTTCCGAAATGCAAAGGCTCAAAGAAGAACAGGCATATGTGTGCTGAGTTGAAAGGAGAATACAAAAGCTGAGAGCACACCGATTAGAAGCAAACAGGACACTGAATTGTTTTGTCAAAGAGAGCCCCACTTGTTGCCTCCAATAATAAATACGACAGCAATGTAGTAGTCCTACTGTGACGTGTCAGCCTTGGATGACTCCCTACTTCTTCCTACACATGCAAGTCTGCTATCCTCACCCTCTCTCTGTCCATGTGTCACTTGCCGGATGCTGCCTGAACAGTTTGCTTACACCCCTCCGCACCTCGCCACTCTGCTACCCTGCTTAAGGCTTCCCAGCTATGGCAGGTGCTATTACAGTAGCCACCGCCGCTGCCGCCTCTAGCATGGGTGCTTTTTCTCCACAATGCGTTGCTGGAGCACTGCAGTGTGCTGCCAATGCTCGAATTTCTGCTGTGCTCAGATGCCGCCTCTAGCCTAGTGCTCTTTCTCCACAATGCGTTGCTGGAGCACTGCAGTGTGCTGCCAATGCTCAAATTTCTGCGATGCTCGGCCTCCTCTGTCTGGAGGACAAGTCTGCATCCCGGCTAGCAGTCCTACTGCCTACCGGACTGAATTTGGGTCCCAGGCACAGTAATCAACTCAGAGACTGGGTCTACTGGTTAGTTACAGTGGCTGGGGTCTGGCCGTGGTGGCTGAGTTTGCCCAGAGATTTGGCCTTTGCTTAGTTAGGGCTGCCCTCCCATTTCGTTGCCACAGCTTTTACTCATGACCGGGCATTACAGGCTGGCCTCTTTTGGGCTCGCTGAGGGCTAGGGCCTTGTAATTCATACTATTTCATAGTAAAGCTTTGGAGTTGATGAGGAACCTTTTTTTTTCCTGTTGCCGATTGACCGTCCGTCTGTTATTGGACGCTCTGGTGTGACATGTTTATTTCCGTTGCATGGTTAGTTTTTGTTGTAGGGAGCACATAATGTTCCTGGGTGACTGTATGGACTGTTGCAGATTCGGACTGAAGTCAAGGTGTTGTGGGACTGTGCAGGCTGGTAGCAGCAGCGGTGGAAGTGATGTTGCTAAAAGGTCCGTTTCTAGCATTCAGACGACCGCCAGCTTGAGGAAGCCAATGGCACGGTCTTTGGTATGTTCAATCTCCTGTCAGCTGGGATCAGCTGGTACTGTTGCTTTCCTGTTTTATGCAGAACGACTACATTTACCGAGAGTGATCAAATTGTCACTGTAGTCTAAGCTGACATTGTTTTATAGTCCATTCACGAGAGTACACTCATGACGAGATTCAGGAGAAAAGACATGGTTTCGGACATGGCATGCCATTGGTTTTGTGCGAGGTGCTGTAGTCCGTGAGGGGATTGCCCTACCACATCTCATGATCTCTGGTCGCCACAGCATTGAGCTGGTGAAATGCTGGTGGTGGCCTGTGAGTTGAACGCTAGCGCCTAGAAATTGTGAAGCAGCTTAACCGTGGTCTCAGGAGTCGAGAGATCTAGGTACATGAGGATGATCAAGATTGAAATCCAAAGGAAGAAACAAAGGAATACTGATTTGTAGGCGTATCAGGAACATGAGGATGACGAAGATTGAAATCCAAAGGAAGAAACAAAGAATGCAAAGTTGGAGAGAGAGAGAGAGAGAGAGAGAGAGAGAGAGAGAGAGAGAGAGAGAGAGAGAGAGAGAGAGAGAGAGAGAGAGAGCTGTGTTTTAACAGCCTCAGCTTGCTGCGAGGAATAGGCCTTTCCTCCCTCTCTCTCTTCCAGTTTCTTTTATCACGTTTGGTGGCAATATAAGTGTGAGCATGGATTGTTTTTTCTTCAGTTCTTTCATACTTTCTTCCTTGTGTGTCAGAGTGCCAGGGGACACTGAGAAAGGACCCTGTCTCCTTTTCTCTATCTGGTTGTTTGTTGATGTGTCGCCATGATGTGTAAGCCATTCTCTCTATCGCTCAGTTCTCCACTGTCTGGCTGGTGAATGGCGCTGTTATTTTGTGCTGATTCTTTAGCCCAAGTATGAAACTGAATAAGGATTACCTTTTCTTCGTCTTTCGCATCTATCAGTGACCAATAGCGAGTGAGAAATGGCAGGCTCGTCTTCTCTTCCTCACTTCTTCTTTCGTCGTTTTGTTTTTCGTTCGGTTTACAGATCTTTCGTTCTTTTCATTTTCTGTCCCGTTCATGTTTTGGTTTGTTTTTCCACTGTTGTTATCAGTGGTTGGGAGGGGAGGGCTATGGCAGGGAAGGTAGTCTTTTTGGGCTCGCTTATCAGGTCTGAGGGAATTTAGAAAAGCATGCAAGCCCACTCATCGAAGCTATCTTTTGCTCTCTCAGTCCAGTCACCCAGTGAAGCTACTCTGGATTCAATGGACCCACTGAAGCCAAGTTGCAGCAGGGGAGGGCTGAGGCAGGGAAGGTAGTCTTTTTGGGCTCGCTTATCAGGTCCGAGGGAATTTAGAAAAGCATGCAAGCCCACTCACCGAAGCTATCTTTTGCTCTCTCAGTCCAGTCACCCAGTGAAGCTAACTCTGGATCCAATGGACCCACTGAAGCCAAATTGCAGCCCTCATTCTAGCCTACTTGTCTAAGCTGACTGTGGATCTCGTTCCAGTCCACTCTCAGAAGGTAGTCCTGCTTGCTTTGGAGGCCAGGGGTCCTGCTCACTCTCATAAATCAATGGTATTTCTCTGGTGCAGTGTGTTGTTTGATGTCGTGTAGCAAAGATACAGATGTTGCGGCAAACTTGGGCCCGAACCTGCCACAAAGTTGGATGTTTATGTTCCACGGGGATAATGTATTGTCCAATTATGGAATGGATGTGGAGGTCTTTACAAGTGGCTCAACCATATCGATCATTATCGATAAAGTAGCGTAGAGATACTAGAGAACCATTAAAAGAAAGGGAAACCCGTGGTAGCGTGCTGTATTTAGTGTTGACGATCAGAATGCATATTTGTTGGTCCATGTGTTGCTGATGGAACAGTCAGTGAAGAGAGGACCTTCTGGAGGGTCTTCGAAATCCTCAGCGGGGAAGAGGGGAGATAATGGAATGTCTGGAGGTCCCCCTGCAGAGTCGGATGACGTGGAGGTACGAATCAGTTTCCCAGAAACAGGTTGTCGACAACTGTGTGCATTTGTTTTTCTGATGCCGATGTCAAGCCATTGACGCAAGAAAGTGGATCATGCAGCTAATGCCATTGATTGTTGGCTGCATGTGAACTGCATGGAATTAGAACGATACAGAGTATATTAGCATGGCCCCTGGGCAAGGATGATGCGCACGAGTTGAGAAATGCACGTGAACTGCATGAAAAGAGGAGCCTCTCTTGATGTTCCATTGTCGAATGTGAAAGTGACACTCTGTTTGAATTCCATTATCAAATGCGTAAGCAGCACTCTGTTTAAATTCCATTATCGAATGCGAAAGCAACACTGTGTCTGAATTGCATTATTGAATGTGAAAAAAAAAGTGACTCTGTTTGAATTGCGTAATGGTCAGTTGTCCCTGCGGAGTTGGATGATGTAGAAGTATGGATAAGTTTCCAAGGAACAAGCTTTTTGAGGACTGTGTGCATTTGTTTTTATCCTGCGCATGTTGAGCAGTAAATGAAAGGAAAGCTGCCTATGAGGTAATTGTAATTGTTTGCTGGGTGCACATGAACTGGATGGGAAGAGGAAGGAGTCTCTCTCGATGTTCTGCTTTTTGACTGTGAAAGCGACACTCTGTTTGAAATGCAGAACAGATGTCTGCATGTTACTTCCTCCTCCCAAACGGAAGCAGAAATATATGCACTCAAATTGAAACCAGATTCAGCGCGTGTAATTGCATCATTATATCTAACAGTGAAAGCTCTTTAAAGTTTAAACAGTAACAGTGAACCGCTCTGTGATGCTGACGGTGTCTCTTTCAATTTGATCATTATATCTAACACTGAATCTGCCAATCCAGGTGATCCGATCCTTTTGACTGTATCCGTTTGTTAGCTTTCTAGATGCAATGTGTGCTGTTTGTTTTGTGCCAATGTGTCCACCGTCTGTTACCTTTCCGGAAGCAATCTGTGCTGTTTGTTTTGTGTCAACACGCTCACTTCGTTGGGGCAGCAGGGTTTTGAGCCTGCAACTTTCTCCAATTTTTTTCTATTCTTTATGCTGTTTTTGCTGCTGCCAATGTTCGGATGTAGGATGTCTATGTAGCATCCCTTTAGGCCAAGTTTTTAACAGGCCCTTTCTGACCGGTAAATATGGATTTTTCCATCTTGTGGGGACAGGATTGAAAAAGCTCATCGACAATATATTTGTTCTACAAGTTGATGGTGTTGGTATTGAATGAAATCTTGCTGAATCGTAACAACTTGTGGATTGTTTGGTTTCGAGGGCAGGATGCCTGAGGACTTTGTGTCCTTCACAGGATGGTTCATTTTGGGATGTTGTCTAATGTCACACAGGCTTAATCAATGTGTCGTATGCCATTCAATGGAATTTGGTGTCATATGTTGTTTGATGTCTCATGTTTAATGTCATGATCTGAGAGTCATATGTCGGTTGTGGCAGCCTACAGACATGTCTGCCGAGGAAGTAGAGGCAAAGGTCTCTGAATTCCTTCCAACAGAAATGCTGGGGAACTTGAAGAGCGTAAATTGGAAAGAACGACTTGAAGGTAATCCACTGCTGACACGTATCTGCCTCATGCATGTCGTGGTGTATGTAGTCCATAAAGTTTAGGGGCACAGCATGGCCGTGCTCGTCCCTCCGAAAATCTCACCGCCAGGGCTGTTGGTAGTCCCTCTGTATACCTTATAAAGAAGATAGAATACCAGACATGACAGGATTAAGGTATTGTGCTCTGCCGAGTTATTTCAGGATCTTTGTATAGACAACTGACATCCTGTATAAGGTGTTGATGATCAAGTTGATATATCTTCATTTGAATGTGAGGACCTTGCACCACTGCACTCAAGTTTTGAAAATTGAAATATTCTTGGTAAATACAATAAAGTATAAGGGTGTTCTGAAGATTAAAAAAAAAAGTCATAAGGGCGTTTTTGGCTACCATAGTCGGCTGAATGGGCATTTGGTCCTGACTGAACTTGAGCCTGTCGACCTGAGAAAACCTGGCAGGTGAAAAATGGGATAACAACTCTCGGGAGGGGGTGGGGGACGGGAGGCGGGGTGCTGAGGGGTTGCAAATGGGGTTTAGTGTGAAATGTCAGGAACTGAGTCGAAGCTGGCCAAGGACTTGGACATCTTTCAGGGTAGTGAATGCTGCACCCTGACGGCTGGTCAGTTTTGGACCTGGAGCCTGTTTGCGCTGTTCTATGTCCCTGTTTTTATTTTCTGCTCTGTTGGGTGTCCGTTTCTGTATTACCTTCTTGGTCTCTTATTTTAAGTGTCGCAACTATTTTTGTATTATTTTGTGAAGACGTTCTTACTTATTCTCTGTAGCTGGACCGGGGAACATCTTGTCCTCGTGTCGGTGGGAGTGCCTGTTTGCGTGTCCATTCGGGTAGCCAAGAGGAACAGTGCTCCTTCTGTCATTTGTTCCCGTTGTGATTACTCTTGGCGCATAGGACAGTTTGTCGGTGCCTTAAGGCTTTCTACCTGGTGCAGAGCCAATTCTGAGTCATTGCACAGTGTGGACCAGCGTCGCAGACCTGGATCGGTATGCACACAGCCAGTCTCTATTCTGGATTGGACATCAATAGGACAGGTCTGACAGTTGAGAATGGAAACCGGTTGAGAGGATGGCTGATTTGGTAAGTTAGAGGTTGAGGTTTTGAGAGCAGGGCGAGGACGATACTTACCTGCATGAGAGATGCCCTGAGATGTATTGCACGTGGATGTAGTTGAGTATTGCTAGAGACAAGTGTTTGGGAGCCGTTCGAGGAGCATGAGAGCTGCATTGAGATGTATTGTCTGTGTGGGATCACCAGCCCAGGGCTCTGCATGGGGGCTGGACTGAGATGTATTTTCTGTGTGTGTGTGTGTGTGTGAGAGAGAGAGCGAGAGAGAGAGGATTGAATATGGTTGCCTGTGTGGGACTGAGATGTATTATCTGTGTGTGTGTGTGTGTGTGTGTGTGTGTGTGTGTGTGTGTGTGTGTGTGTGTGTGTGTGTGTG